AGCAACCACTCATAGCAGATTGTGGAAACAGCATGCATACTCCCTAGTATGCATGGTTGGATACCCCTAAAGTAACATCAGAAAATGACTTAAATGTTACTTGTTTCTGACTAACTGAATTTCTGTCCGAGCAATAATCCAACAACTGGAGGTGTCTAAGTGCCTCTTTTATGCTTCTCCACATGCTGCCAACAAACTATGTATTTCCAGGGGCCTTTTCAGATATTGGCGGCATTATGCTTTGAGAAGGCATTAAATAAAAATTATTTTAATTAAAACCCAATTGGAGGTATTTAGGTAAGTACAAAAACACGCACACACCAGTGTTTCAGACTACATCAGATAGCGATTAAGACTTTTATTACTACCTGAATACACTGAGGCACAATTGAGTGGGCAAATTGTCCTGTGAATGGGGAAAGCTCAAGAGGGGCCCTGTGCCTGAGGTATAAGCAGCAAAAGATATAAATCCCTGTGCTACTGAATAACACTTCATAGTGAAGTAATCACCACAAGTGCACCTAAAAATACATTGCTGCTTTGCAGTTTGATCTTGACTGTAGGGTGCACAGCAAAGCTCTCCCTAGGAACATCCTTCTTGCTCAGTTGTCTACAGAAATCTGAAATGGGGCTATTTTTTATTGTACATTGCAGAAGTTTGCAGCAAGAGAAAACCAGTTTGCGGGGGGGGGGGGATTACCACTTCAAGTAAGATAAAGAAAGCTTATAAGGAAGCACTTTTACAACATATTTACTTTTATTCCACATATAGATATTTTAAAGTTTCTACACAGAACGTTTAACAGTTCAGTGTGTTTACACTGAGTCATCGATAATCTTTGGGGTGTCATTAAGAAACATTGACTGCAACATTCACGCTGAGGCTGTCTTAACTGGAACAGCTCTAGGCTTAATGGCTGTCATGACAACCGTGGAGCTATCCCAGAAAATCATGGCCCACCACATGCACATGCGGTTACCTGAACTGGTCCCTGAGGAGGGGAATAAGTTACGAGGGATTTCAGAATGAGATAATGCAAGTTCTTGTACCCATGTATACTAGAGTAGATCTCAGTAACGGTACCCCCCAAAATGTGAGTAACGAGAGAGGAAATTATTGTAAACAGACACATAAAGGGGGTGTCTACTAAAACAAGTCTAAAAGGCCCTCTTTCTTTTTTTTTTAATAAAGGTTTTATTAGCTCCCCTAAAAAGGGGAGGTATTTCGCTTAAAAGAAAAAAAGGGAAGGGTAGACAGTGGGAGGAAGAGAAAGCTGAGTGATATATAAACTGGTAAATTAAACTGTTAGTAATATCCAATTAATCTTCTTGGGCTTCTTCTGTGTGTTGCCAAACTTCTTTTCTTAGTCCTGTTACACGTATTCTCTGTTAGTATGTTAGTAATGTTCCTTTGAGATTCTGTTAATAAAAAGGATCTCTTCTGTGCACATTCAGAACCGCTTCTTTGCGTGCTGGGTACTTTTACTATCGCTGACGTGGAGGAGCTTCCTCTGTTGTCTTCTCCTTCCGGCTTGTTAGATCCTCCTTCGGGTTGTTGTTAATACGCTCAGTTCATGTACTATAAATCCTCTTCTTTTCATGCCATTACCGGAGGTCCCCAGTTTCGAGAATGGTATCAATTTCATTTTCGCTTTTATATTCGCTCCCAGACTCTCTATGGGTCCTCCTCGCAATTGTTGACTTATAAGCGCTTGTCAGGCACTTCTCGCTGTCACAATTCCAACTTATCTTTTTTACAAAACTCCCGTCGGATTCACAGCCATAAACAGTCCAAACATTCAACAGCCGGCTCTCGCACACAAACAAAACGCCCAGACGGAAGTCCCTCCCTTCTTCTCCGCTCGCTTTTACCCAGCTCCGACATCTTTTCTTTTTTGTTTACTTTTAGAAAGTTCTTAAAATGTGCTCCAGAGAGACAAGTTTCTCGCTTTCAAATACATCAAAGGAAAACATCACTGTCCGCTCAATTCATCCCCCCCTCCTTTTCTAAAAGGCCCTCTTTCTGAGGGGTCTCCGCTAAATGACTGGGCAGAGTCCTTATAATACCGTAGCAGATCACACTCTTCATTTGGCACTTTGGTAAACACAAGTGGATGGAGAGCTGGATGTAGAGGGAAGCATCAACAATACCCTCGTTATTGTCATGTTATTACCAGGTTTGTTCCTAAAATCTTTGGTGGTGTGGGGGAGCAGTCCAGAGGGTCCACCACTGGAGACTGATGAATCTGAAAGGTTTGCATGGGCTGACATCACTGTGGCTCTGGCTGATAACTTGACTCTGGACAATAAAGACAGCTTGGGCAATAGTCATAATTATTCCTAGATACACTTTCCCACTGACTGGAGCCAAATTGCCTCTCTGATAGAATGTGGAACTGGAGGGAATGAAGCTGATAAAAAGATGACTAGAATGAAGACTGAGGTAAACTCTAGGCTAGTGGCATGTAAACTACAGCCTGCAAACCTTTTTCATTTTGCATGAAGGAACATTTTTAAAAAATCTACCAAATAAGGAAGAGGTGTTGAACTCATTTGTTACAACGGCCGAATCTGACATAAATGTCACTTTGTCGGGCTGGGCCATGTGTGCCATAAAATATCATGCCAGGTACCGGAGATATAAACTTTATAAAGGACAAAGGGAAACCAAATTAACGATATTATTTTTACTCAAAATATAAACAAAAGCAATTGATTCCTAGCAGTGAAAGCAACTGATTTACTAGGGAGCCCACAAAAGCCCCAATAAATGTATTTAATCTTTGCAAGTTTAGTTTTTTTCCAAGGGATACCATAAAAAGGGGAGAACCTTATATTTCCATACATACCAGTTGCTTGCAGGCTGGGTAAGAGCCCTGGATGGGTCAGCTCTGGCCCCTGGGGCCTTATGTTCGACACCCCTGAAATAAGGGGCTGACAGAACTATAGACCTCCTTTTCCCCATCTAATTGGGGTGATGTCATACAGGTGTCTGGTGTTGATAATTGGATGGATGTGCGTGTGTGTGTGTTATGTGCTGTCATGTTGCTTCCAACTTATAGCAACCGTATGAATTAATGACCTCCAAACGTCCTATCGTTAACAGCCGTGCTCCAGTCTTGCAAACTGAGGATCGTGGCTTCCTTGATTGAGAAGAGATTGGATTCACAACTCGAAGGAGTCTCAGAGTGGCTTACAATCTCCTTTCCCTTCCCCTCCCCACAACAGGTAGGTGGGGCTGAGAGAGCTCTTCCAAGAACTGCTTTTGAGCGAACAGCTCTGAGAGAATTTGTGACTAACCCAAGGTCACTCCAGCAGCTGCATGTGGAGGAGTGGGGAATCAAACCCAGTTCTCCCAGATTAGAGTCTGCACTCCTAACCACTACATCAAACTGTCTCTGAGTCAATCCATCCCATGTTAGGTTTTCTTCTTTCACGGCAGCCTTCAACTTTTCCTACCGTTATTGTCTTTCGCAGTGAGTCTTGTCTTCTCATAATGTACAATAGCCTCAGTTTAATCATTTTAGCTCCTAGGGAGAGTTCAGGTTTGATTTGATCTAGAATAGTGAAATGTACACCAAACCAGACCAGACTGTTGGTGGGTAATCAGGTGGACTCCGGAGATGGTAACTGATCAACATTCAGTGGAGTTATGCTCCCCTTACAGACCAAGTTCACAATTTGGTGGGTCTTGTTATACTCTACAGTTCTTACAGATGCACCGGTGAAGCTTGTACTCTGAAGTATCTTTCACTAACTTTGATTGTCAGTGGCCCTTTCTGAAAAAGGACAAACTAGTCAGTTAAGCACTGTGGTGCCAAGATCTGGACAGCCCAGGCTAACCTGATCTCGGAAGTTGAGCAAGGTTGGCCCTGGGTAGTATTTGGATGGGAGGCCACCAAGGAACATCAGAGACGTGACGTGGAGGCAGTTCAATGGCAAACCACCTCTGAACGTCTCTTGCCTTGAAAACCCATAAGCCAGCCGTGACTTGACAACACTGTCCACCACCAAGCACTGTAGTTATTCATGTCTTAAAAACAATTGAGACCAGACTGCTATAAAGATCTGTTCTTCCGAAGCTTCCTTTGGTCCATGTCACAGAAACTAGGCTGCAAACAGGAAATCATCTCAGTATTCAGTGATCTTGTACTGACTCTCACTTTTGTCCTGGGAACCACTCAAAGTGTCTGTAATGCATCAGACCAGTTAGGATTAAGGACCACCTTCTCCCACACTAATTTGCCCAGTAATTGAGGAAACCAGATAACCTTCTGTGAATGTCTGCTGAAGGGAGGGCTTGTTCTGTGGTTATGCCCTGTTGATGAAACTTCCTCTGAAGAGATGCCCATTGCCCTACCTCTGTGCCATTTTTAGGTGCTAGGCAAAATCTGCCCTCTGATATCCAGTCCTTCAGCTATCTATTTCCCCTGCCTCCTTTTTTAGTGCCTACTACCCTATCTGTGCTGTGGACAATCTTAAAACACTGTTACCTCTGTGGTGGTTTAATGTCACTTCAGTTTTATTGGCGGGCGAGAAGGGCAGCATACATTTTGAGAGGCTTATTTTGTTCTAGAAGTCTACTATCCCCCCAAACCAACATATTTCATTGTGAATGAGACCAGAAACTCTCACAGGGGCTATTCAATCATTGTATAATTTAGAGTTTTATTTGTCATGGTCAATTCCCCCCCCCCAATTTTAGATGCTTCCTCGTGGATTTAAAAAGACTGAAAGGTAGGCTGTAAATATTTTAAATTAAAATATTTCTTATACTTAAAATTGTATTACCTTTGCACATCCAGTTTTGTAAATACACACAGACGCTTCTCTTCTGTCCTCCAGGGGAGGAGATTTCAAAACTAATCTAGGCAGCCAGTTTTATTACTCAAATGCTCTTAAGAGTTAGGAAGTATATTTACTTCATGTTTATTTAACTGGGATTTGTACAGATTGTCTTTTTCAGTAAAAACAATTTGCTAGATTCTCTCCATTTACTTAAAAAAAACCCAACCCAGTCCAGTTTTGCAAATGGAGAGCTCTGAATTCAATCTTGCTGAACAACTTATTTATTACAATATTTATACCCCCCCAGTGATTCAAGGCAGCTACGTATGGTACCAATATTAGCTCTTGTTTATTTTAGCTGTGGTTTCTCCAAAGACCCATTATTACTGCAGAGATGGAGAAGAACAACATTAGCACACACTCCCTCCTCCTTGTTCGCTAGTAATCAAGGAAATTTGTGTGGGCAACAACTGGAGGTACAGAAATCTGTGCCATCAGAAGCAAGGCCCCGTTCATAAATTAGCAAACTATGGTGTCCATTATCACAGTGTGTGTACTTCTACCCCCAGCCATGTATTTCCTATGACATGGCACAGGTCGTTATGAGTACAGCAAAGATATTCCTTGACATCATTTGGTTAATTCTTGCCCTTAAAGATGCATGAGGTTGGGTAGAAAGAGTTTCTTCAGAGAGAATGATTGTGGGTAGAATTCTAGGGAGAAAACTCTTATGTTCCACATCACAGGAGGTCAAGAGCAGAAAAGAAGGCTGCAGCGACTGTTCCATTTTGAAAAGGAACCCCAAAGCCTGATAATTTGGATCCCGTAGTAAATCTCTGCTCATGGAAGGCATTTGCGTCAGCAGAACTGAATTTTCTCTACCTCCCAGCTCCTACTGCGGCCTGAAGTGCTCCCTGAAACCCTAGTCTTGATGGGCAGGAACAGCATGAGGGGTGAACTGTCTATAGTATGAAAGGGAGGGTGAAAATCAGAAAAAAAATTACCTCAGCCGCATGTGTTAGCGGGTATTTCCCTGCGGGAGCTATGCCATCACTGAGCTAGAGGAACAGGAAAACCTAGGCAACATCTGAGAATAAATCCAACTCCAAGAAGAGAACTGACAAAAAGGTGGTCACTTCATCTAGAAAAAAGCTGAGGTGTTAAATCAAAGGCAGTTTTAACCATCCGTCCCTTCTTTCCAAGTATACACCCCCCCACACACACACAAATGACCTGCTGGTAAAGGCACAGCGTGTGGGCTTTGAGTGCCCTCAAATTCATTTCTTGTCAACAGCTTTATCTTGAATTGGAACTCTGTCGTGCTGGTGAATCCTGCCTAGAACAAAAGTTATCCCAGCAGGCAGGATCTTCAGGTGTGAGAGGAACAGCAGAGGCAACGAAATCATCAAAAGCCAGCGTTGTGAAGGCGGTCTGGGTCACATCCCTACAAGGCACCTAAAAGGAAACAAACAAAAAAGGGTCGTGTTCATACGCAAACACAGCTAAGATTTCCATGACTAGAAAAATAAGGCTAGGCTTATTTTCTTTTTCCTTGTGGCTGTATTAATAAAAATTGCCCACCTCACATCAGAGAGAAACCTGTGCCCCCCATCACACATGTCAAGGCACCACCGCCGCCTCCTCCATTCTTGTATGTGCTCAATGCACACAAAGTTGGTGGCATCCGGCAGTGCTGGTTCCGGGTTTTGAGGGGCCCCTCTTCTAGCCCCCAATGCCCCCCCCATACATGCCCTCCTTCCCTTCCTTCCCCCCACTAAAAGGCCTCTCACCGGCCTGTGTCCTTCCCTTGCTGACATGTGAGCTGGGATCATAGTGGAGTGCTGGCAAGTAAGTGGTGGTGGGGAGGCCAACAGCAGTGGTCCTTGGCAGCTGCTCTACCCCAGGGGGTACTGCTCCAGTCTCTTCAGCCAGGAAATGAGACCTCACCTTACAAGTCCTTAGTTGGTAATGGGTCTTCTGGCAGTAGAGTTGCCAACCTCCCTGCCATGGGGCTGGAGAAGTCCTAGAGTTCTAACTGATCTCCAGACTTTGTAAATCACTTATTTATTTATTACTTGTTTAAAACATTTATTCCACTTCTCCTGCAGAAAATGGCTGCTTTGGAATGTGGCATTATACTCTACTGAGATCCCTCCCCTCCCTAAATCACACTCTCCCAGGCTCCACCCTCAAATCTCCAGGTTTCTCCAAACCTGGAGCTGGCAACCCTGTCTGGCATGTGACAGGCCTTGCAATTAGCAACTCCATTTTTTAAATATGTCCCTGTCCGAGTCCAAGGCAGCGGTCAGCAGATTTCCCCCGATTTGTTCCACTGGTTTGCTCCGTCCCACCTCACAGTTCACCTCCCTTCCATTTTGACCCTGGAGAATTTCTAAAATTAATTTTGAATGTTCTTTTTTCTCCTCTTACAGGCACAACAGCACAGGCATATATTAACTAAAGCAGAGCAAAAAAGGGAGCCTTGAGGTAATTGGGTGATCACATTTATTTATTTATTTATTTATCCTTCGGCTTGATATACCGCCCTAACCCCTGTAGGGGTCTCTGGGCGGTTTACAGTTCTTGGGTGCTAATCACCTATATCGACCCTAACTACGGCCACACATTGGTACAAGGGGGGGGGGGGGAATTCCCTACCGACATTTCAGTTTCTTTGTACACTGTGATCAATATGAGTGTGTGTTAGTGCACAACCTGTAAGAAAAAAAAAGAATCAAACCAAGTGAAAACTGTGGCAAACTGCAAACTGGACAATGCAGAAATAATTTTAAAAAAAAACAAAACACCCTGAAGAATGGTAGATTGATAATGCACAGGTGTTGCTCTGGAAACCTGATCAGGTAATTCAAAATCCCCAAGATCTGAAGAGAAATTCTAAGGGGGGGGGGAGGAGGAGGAGGAGGAGGAGGAGGAGGAGGAGGAGAAGGAGAAGAAGAAGAAGAAGAAGACGAAGAAGAAGAAGAAGAAGAAGAAGAAGAAGAAGAAGAAGAAGAAGAAGAAGAAGAAGAAGAAGAAGAAGAAGAAGAAGAAGAAGAAGAAGAAGAAGAAGAAGAGAGGAGGAGAGGAGGAGGAGAGGAGGAGGAGGAGGAGATTGGATTTATACCCCACCCTTCACTACCCAAGGGAGTCTCAGAGCGGCTTACTTATTCCTTTCCCTTCCCCTCCCCACAAACGACACCCTGTGAGGTAGGTGGGGCTGAGAGAGCTCTGACAGAAATTGCTCTTTTTTCAAGAACAGCTGTGCCAGAACTATGGCTTGCCCAAGGTCATCCAGTCAGGTGCAAGTGGAGGAGTGGGGAATCAAACCCGGTTCTCCCAGATTAGAGTCTGCGCACTTAACCACTATACCAAACTGGACGATTCTTTGTCTAAATATAGACTTAATGGATTATATGTATCATTTATGAGCCCAAATTAGTTAGGATTACATTTCTGTGTGTCCCACAAAGGACTTCTCCACATATGAATCTGTGTACTTCTTAAGACTGAAGAGAATCACTTTGGTACTGGGCCCCTTTCTTTTAAGAGGAAAGATTTTCAGAAGATGGGGAACTTCTCCACAGTGGTTCTAAACTTACAGAGTTAATTAATAATTTAAAATATGCCTTGGCCCAAACCTCCCAATATTTACAAACAAACAGAAAATATTCTTATTCAGATAAAATTCTTGTCTGAAAGGCAGGAAGAGTGTTTCTGAATACTGTCCAGTATTACAATCTAATATGCACACTGACAGACTTCCCTCTTTTTTTTTTTGGCCAGCTTTGTCGTTAATTGTTTGGAATTTTATTCCATTCAAGTAGGGTAATCCAGTAAATACTTGGGGTAGAGCTGCGATAGGATGAAGAAACAATACGATAGAATTATGAAAAATTCTTCTTCAGACCTGCAATCAAGGCTGACCCAAGGCCAGCTCCAACCTGCGTGACACCCCCCCCCCCCATACATCACCCCTGCCATCACAGGGATGTGGCGCCTGGTGGCAAAGCTGGCAGTTGCCTCCTTCCCCTTGGGGCCGGAGGTGACACTGGTCACGTGATCAGGCTGTGAAGCTGGCTGCTGCCTGCCTCTCTCGAGGGTGAGGCAGGGCAGGGGTGGGGTGGGGTGAGCTGCACAAGCAGACTCTGGAGCCCAGCGGCAGAGTGGGTAGCTGCCTTCCTTCCTTGGGAGCGAGGGTGAGGTGGGGAAAGGGAGAGGCAGACTGCACAAGCAGGCCCGAGTACCTAGCACCACCTCCGATCACACAGGTTGAGGTGACGGGGCAAAAGGGTCTAGGGCCGCTACTTATTCAAAACATTTATTAGCCGCCTTCCTTTCTCACAGAGCTCCAGGAGGCTTGTGTGTGTGCATAAATTGCCATCAAGTCGCAGCTGACTTATGGTTACCCCATACTATTCCACATCATTAAGGTGGTTTACAATATAGATTAAACACATTAAATACATCAAAACCAAGATTGAAAACCACAGTTGAGGACTGCAAGAAACCTATCAAATGTGGTCCCTAAATAAAACCAATATATGCTGGGTAGCCTCTGCTCTGCTGCCCCAGGGAATCGCCTCGCTTTGCCTCGTGGGTGGGCCACCCCAGGCCGCAGCTAATATTTAAATGTGACCATTACCCTCAAAAAACACTGTTTTAAAAACTACCAGAGCATCTTACCTCAGAATGCTTCTCCTTAGACCCCTCTGGTTGCCCCAGAGCAACTGCAACATGGTGGCAATTATCCAATCTGGTCTCCTAGTAGAGATTTAAAAAAAGAATAGTAGTTTGGGAATAGTCAGATGTTTCTGAACTCTGATATGCTGCAAATACAGGTCTGGATCCTATATACAGCATTTCTGTAGAAGGATGGGTGATTTTCACCAATTTTACCCTTCCCACTCTACGGCACTCCCCCCTTCAATCCCCTTGTGGCTGGGAAGCCAGAACCAAGAAGGCTCTGTTCCTCTTCATTCACAAAGTGGGAGTAACTAGAACAGGGATGCAACAGGCAGGCACATTCCTACAGGAGCCAGGTGTTCCTTTAGGTACCCTGGCATATACTCTTACAATTAGTTTCCTTTTCACCACAGACGGTGAAAAAAGCAAACTCTCTTTTCTTATGCCAGCTGAATGCAAGCTTCCCAGAAAAATTTCCTCCTTTTCAAGGAAGCAATTTTCATAAAATGAAAATTACAGGATTATTTCTAGCCATTTACATTATCACAATCCCTCAGTGCAAACAGAAGAATCAAGATGCTAGTTCCCGCCGATACTTGCATGAGGCCACCTTGACTGTAGATGTTAAACACTTTTTGGATGCTACAACAGGGTACATTACAGGGTTATAGAAATATTTCCAGCAAGTAAAATGTTTTTTTCTCATTTGGGGGGGAAGAAACATTAGCGAGGTTAAGAGACTTCCTTCCTCAGTATAATTAATCATCCCCCAAATAACAAGATAACATCTAAATTTATGCTAAAATGTCTTAGTACAGACAATGGGTTTCAAACCGCTTGCAGGCTTATCAGCCGGAGTGATGTAATGGGTAGAATACTGGGATAGGACCAGGTTCAAATCCCCGCTTGCCACGGAATTCAATGGGCCAGAGTCACTCTCAGCCTAACCTGCCTCACAGGGTTGCCCTGAGAATAAAATGAAGGGAGAGAACCTCAAAATATACTAAATGTAGTGCAAACTGGAAGGAGAATTTAGTTGTGGGGAAGGGACCACTCATAACTGGTACTTCCACTGAATACAGAATCCTCAATGAGAAGAAGGGAGTCAAAGGAGCCAACCCATTTCGGGGGGGTATTTGTTGGTATTTGTGTATGTGTCTGCACATGGGTGTGTCTGTACATGGAAGGAGCTGCGGTGGCTCAAGTGGTTAAGACACTGAACTGCAGGCTGTGGAAGGTCGGTAGTTCAGCAGTTCGAGACCCGAGTGTACCGCATGATGGAGTGAGCTCCCGTCTCTAGTTCCAGCTCCTGCCAACCTAGCAGTTCAAAAGCAAGAAATTGCAAGTAGATAAATAGGTACCACTTCAGTGGGAAGGTAACAGCGTTCTGTGAGCCTTGGTGTTTAGTCATGCCGGCCACATGACCACGGAAACGTCTTCGGATAGCGCTGGCTCTTCAGCTTTGAAACGGAGATGAGCACCGCAACCCTAGAGTCGGATTCGACTGGCTTTCGAGCAAGGGAACCTTTACCTTTACCTGCACATGGAAGTCACAATGACCTCTGGTAACTAACCCCTACTGGGGGCCTGGGGGATATTCAGAGAGGTGGCGGAATAAAGCCTGCCTCTGTCCTCCTGACTTGGGTACTCCCAAGAAAGTCTCCCATCCAAGTACTCACCACAGTCAACCCTGCTTAGCTTTTGAGATCTGATGAGATTGGGCTTGCCTGGGCTAACCAAGTCATGGCAGATCCAACCCACTTTCTAACAGGAAAATGAGTAGCTCATTCCAACATGTAAGCAACAAAACCAGACCATCCACAGACAATGGAGGGTTTCTACCTACTTGGAGG